TCCTTTGTTTTATTTTATTTTTAATTATGTACACTTGTAGGGATCAGAGAATATGAGGCAAGAAGAAGGCAGTGGATTTCCTGTACCTAGAGTTACTTAGAGTTGTCGGCTCCTTGACTTGAGTGTTGGGGACCAAACTCCAGGGCCTTGAGAGAAGAGGATGTGCTCTTAACCTCTGAGACATCTGCCCAGTCCTGGGAGACTTTATTTCTGTGTAATAAGATTAGTCAGAGAGCAACAGTTAAATTCTATTAGTCAGATGTAAGCTTTAAAGGAAATGGTTTCAATTATATTTGGTTAACTTGGCAGCAACTGCGCTGTCAGGTAAGATCTCAGACTCTCTTGCAAGTGTAGCTGTGGACCCTGGCATGGACACTGGCATGGTCCATGACATAGAATAAGATAACTGAGGGTACCAGAGGTTTTACCCCATTTTGCTAGCTGTGTGACCCCAAATAAATTATTTTTATCAATAAGAAATTTACTGGATAAATTTTAAAATGTTCAATACATGTTGTTGTGTAAATATGATATAGTGATTTCTTTTTCATTTTTTGTATTCCTTTTTTAAATGTTTTTCTTACTAAAGCCTATAATTTGTTTAGTAATTAACTGTTTTTTTCTAAATGCTTGTTATTCTTCTAAGCACTAGGTCTATAAAGATAAATAAGACAAATGTCTTTGCTTTTATCAGTAAGAAATTCAAGTAAGAAGATAAGACAATGAATAGATAGCAAACCAACCTTGGGTACTAACAGCTGCAAAGATGAATAAGGCAGCTAGAGGGGTTAATCGGTGGAGATGAGGTAACTTTTTCAGGAAACCAAAAGAGACTTCTAGAAGGAACTGTCTTCAACAAGTTAAACCTGCAAATAGTAATAGAGAAGTCCAGACAGAGGGCACAGGGACTGCCTCATAGAACTGAGGCACCACACAGCCTCAGTGTGGGAAGTTGGGAGTGGGCCTAGAATCTTGTAAAAAAGTTAAGCAGCAACCAGATTGTCTCTGGCCTTGCAACTACATAACAATTTTATATTTCATCCTAAGAATAAAACACTGCACCAGAGATATGATACAGCCTGAAACATCTTGAGATACAATCTTACAGAACTGTGGGGTAGGGATGGATAAGGGAGAGGAGAAAAGAGAGGGCAAGAGAGGAATCTGTGAGTGACAGGATCCTGACAATGACTCTGGAGCAAGTGTGCCCACCTTCCATACTCTAGTCTCCCCTCCCCTTGTACCTAGACCATCTTCAAAACAGTTTGCCATGTGCATCCTTAGGGAAAAGACCAACTTGTAATTATGCAGTAATATTTTATCACATCCTTTGTCTTACACAAGACGTACTCCACTACATCGTCTGATGTCTTCAGTACTTGTCTATGTGGTCAACTTCACTATGATCTTTCATTCTGAGTAATGACTGGAACTAGTACCCTGGTGTGACTTGCAAAAGTTTGTAATAATCCAGGAACAAATGAAAGAAATGTCTTTCAGACACTGGCGTTTCAATACAACAGGTGCGCATAGTGCTTATTGCTGAGAACTACAACACATTCTCATAAAAGCATGACTTTTTAATGTTTTCAGATTAGTATGCAGCTTTGCTGCTCCCCCTCCCTGCACAGCAGTGCACTGTACTGCTTATCACCAAAAACGCACTTCTGAATACATGGTCTTCCCATTAACTTCAGGAGCATGCATTCAGTGATGATGATTTAATCTGGCACCTAGCATGGACTTAATACATTTGTGATAAGTGATCTTATTTTGTTACTTTGACATAGTAATTTAAGTCATAAGATAACTGTTTTCATGGAAATCCTGTAAATGTTTTACGTGTTTAAAACCTTAGAGCTTATTACAAACTCTTTTACATTTCCTCAAACAGAAAGAAAACATGAGCTACAAAACAAATTTGAAAGGAGTCAATTTAGATACATTTTAAATTATGCATTTTAAAGAACTATAATTTTGTTGTTTTTAAGTCCTATGGATCAAGTGATGATCCTTCACAATGAACACACACACACACACACACACACACACACACACACTTTATAGAAGAAAAGGCCTTTAGTATAAAATGGAGTCTTTTGTCACATAATTCAGTGTACCAAAATTCATATTTTATAAGAAAAAAGGTGTGGAATAATATTTTTTCCTTTTTTTATTTATTTTTTTCATTTTACATACCAACCACAGTTCCCCCTCCCTCCTCTTTTCCCATTCCCTTGCACCTCACCCCCTACTCCCCATCCACTCCTCAGAGAGGTAAGGCCTCCCTTGGGGGGGTCAACAAAATCTAACATACCAAGTTGAGGCAGGACCAAGCCCCTCCTCACCCCCCCACTCCCCTCCACCCCGTAAAAAGGCTGAGCAAGGTATCCCTCCATAGAGAATGGGTGTCAAAAAGACAGTCATGCACTAGGAATAAATCCTGGTCCCACTACCGGGAGCCCCACAAACAGATCAAGTCACACAACTGTCACCCACATTCGCAGAGCTTACTTCTCCCATGCATGTTCCCCAGTTGTCAGTCTGGAATCTGAGCTCCCACTAGCTCGGGTCAGCTGTCTCTGTGGTTTTGTATATAACAGTGTGGGGCTTAGAGTTAGCTGTCCTGCTGCTAGTGTCCTTAGCTATGGTTCCTTCGGTGTCTCTATGCATGTGCAGGATGTGAGTGTTAGGTTTCCCTTGTGTTCTCCCAGGGTACAGCATGTAGGTCCTGTAGAATCATTTCCATTCATTGAAGATGAATAGTAAAAATAACAGAGGATGCCAGAACATTGACAGGAGCAATTTTAGGGACTTGGTATTGAGTAGAAATTTACCAAAATTAATCCAGTGAAAACTGCTTCCATCTCAGAATTCACCATCTAAGGAAATCAATCATATCATGAAATAAAAGTATGGTAATCCAAACATACAATCACCACAAAGAATTGTTGGAATTCCAGTGACTTCCATTACATTTTGGAAAACAAATAGTGTTTAAATAATAAAATGGTTTTAAATTTTGAAAATTATCTAAGTCACTTTAATGTATGCTTCGAGTTTGATTTATTTATGATATTTACTCATAAAAAGATGCTGAAAAGTTACTTTTATTGATGGGAGTTAGTTATAAATCAGTCCACCATTATTCTCACTTAACTTTCTTCTTATTTTTATTACTTATCACAAAGTTAGACTAACAGGCTTGGACTTTAAAATATAAATGAAACAAAAGTAACTTTTTCAGAAAGAATTAACAAAAAAGTCCCTTCTTTGGTTTGACTCTATTAAGTTATAACCTAGTTAGGGGGAAATGCATGTCTATATTTGAAGATATTTCCCAAAAGACAGAGATAACCCCTAACTCAAATTCCATAATGAAGACTGTGGTGGTATTCTAATTGTACTGAAATGTGATTTTGATTGTATGTTAATAAATAAAGTTGTCTGGGGGTCAGAGCTATTAGAGCCATAGCAAGAGTGTGGTGGTGGTGGTGGGTGTGGCGGTGGTGGCACACGCCTTTAATCCCATAGATCTCTGTGTGTTCAGGGATACAGCCAGCATTGGAGACATATGCCTTTAAGACCTAGGGGGCTGTACATTCAGACAGTGACGAGGCAGTCACGTGTTTGGGTTTACAACCAATGAGAAGGCAGAACAATAATACTATAAAAAAGGCATACAGACAGGAAGTAGCTCTCTTTCGAGAAGCTGGGACACAGAGGAGGAAGGGTGAGATTTTAGCTCTGAGCTCTGACCTCTTGGCTTTCTCTTTTACATTGTTTCTGTGTTTCTTATTTAATAGGACGGTTGGTTACATCTACAGAAGACGTACATCAAGAGAACTAAACAGAAATTTTGGCACACACACACACACAGCTGACAGTTGAAGTTTGCAGCCTAGTAAAAATTAAGAAGTAAGAATTTGTAAGGCATATTGGTCAAGCTCTTACAGAAAGTTTGGCGTCAGAGCTTTACATTCTTTTCATGTTTATTATGCCTTTCAGGACAGAAAAAGAAACCAAAAGATATCAATGTGATATTCTGCTTATGGTTATAAAAATAGCGTTACAGAAAATATTAAATATTCATGAGAAATCCTTATTTCCCTCAGGTTCCAGAGAGCAAAAGATGCTGAGAGATATTAAGCACCAAAGGAGGGAACTGTAACACACTACAGATAATCACTAGAGTTATAAACAAAGGCAGTTGATATTAATAATTAAATGAGAACATCCCCTGTGGAGGTTTCCACGAGCACCAGGCATGGTGTGTAACATCTCTTGGCTAACTGATCATTAGTTGCTTTCTAGACCAGGAGTGTACGTTAATGGAACCTGTGTTTCAAGTCCAATAACTTGTCTAGTATAATAAATAATTATACATGCCCGGTGAGGACTCATCCCTCTTAGACCCTGGTGCTTTTAATGTCTGTGAGAGACTATTCAACAGAAGCAAATAGGGACTGTTTATCCATGCTCTGAAGTTTTGTGTTGCACAGTAACTTAACAGTAGCAGAATTATTTTAATATCATCAGTAGCTGTGCTGGCTAATTTTATGTTAACTTGACATAAGTTGGAGTCATTTTGAAGTTGGGAACCTCAATTGAAAAAATTTCCCTACCAAATAGACCTGTGTGCAACTCTGTGGCTCATTTTCTTGATTGGTGATTGATGTGGGAGAGCCCAGCCCTCTGTGAGCAGGGCCACCATGGGCAGATAGTCCAGGGTGTCACAAGAAATAGGGCTGAGCAAGCCATGGGAGTATGTCAGTAAACAGCACTCCTCTCTGGGCTCTGCATCGGCTCCTACTTTTAGGTTGCTGCCCTGATTTTTATCAGATTACTGACTGCAAGTGGAAACCTTAACTAAGACAATAGAAAGACTGTATGCACCCAACCTGTGCACTGAAAGTTGTGTGTAATGATATTATGAGGTTTTTTTTTTTTTTGGTAGGGGTAGTTTTCTCTGTTTTTGAAAACTGTATCTATCTCAACAGGGTTTTCTTCAATGAGCAAGCATCAGTGCTGATTACCACCCTGTGATCCAGAAGAGTCCAGTGACCAAGCATGGCTTCCTCTTGGAGACTAATCCTGTTCCTGTCTGTCACCAGGTGTCTTTCAGGTAAAACACATGCATAATTATTGGATTGTTGCTAAGTCTCAATTAACAAAGGTGTATGAAGATCTCTATCCCAAAGAACTAAACAAAACAATTATTAATTAAAGAAGCTTAATGACATTTTAATTTTCCTAAATACAGTTTTAGTAGAATAACATTTATTTTTATATATAGTGAACCAGTATTATATGCAAATATTTTCATGTAACACACACACACATATATCTATAAACATGTATATACTGTTTACTATATGGAAATGTGGATAATATAACCATATACCCAACATTTCATTTTACATATGGTGGCATGTGCTCTTAGCAAATTATACTACACTGCTATGTGGTAAAAGTTTTTCATTGACTGTACAGATTTTTGTGTGTGTGTGTCCAAGAATCAAATACATTCTCTGAATAGTATCACATTTTGAGTATTACAGTGTTCTCTCAAGTAAACAGAAACTATCAAACATGGCAGGTAGAAGATCATACCTAGTTAGAAGTAACTATAAACTCCTTTCAGAATCATTGAGGTAAGCTTTGCCTAGCAATTATACAATACTTTCCAGTCTTATCCCTGATCTCCATCCATGCAATACCTGCCATGAAATATATGTAATATGTGATGTGACTCTTTTAAAACCCTAGCTCTCAATCAGAAAGTGCTCCAAATGTGCTGGTTTGAAATCTGAAACCATTTCATGGCTTCATAAATTTGTCATTTCACTTTTATAAATCAGTATGTGTTAAAATGAGATAGCTAAGTACACTTGAACATATTTACAAGTTTTAGAAATGTATCCACAGAAGCCTCACACCCTAATACCAGCAACTTATTAGTTGCAAAGCAAACAACACATTAATTATGCATTTATCAGTAATATTATTTGTTGTAAGCATTGCTTATTGAACAGTAAATGTAATAAGAGACGTGAAGGTTGGGGGAGGTCAGTGTAATCTCGAAAAGTGTATATCAAAGATACCGAGCATTAAATGAAAATCATGGTTCATTGTTACTGTGTTCACTCAAGAAATGTGTCTTCAGAAAGCTGTTTCTGCCTGGCTCTGTCGTTATCTGCACAGTATTCCCCACTCTCCGAATCCAATCTGCTCCCCTCCAGTCTTCTCAAGCTCCTTGTCTGTTTGAACTCACAGACTGTCTGTTAGTTGTTCTTATGTGTGAGTTGACAATTGCTGGTGGTAGGCAATAACAGTGTAGTTAGTTTCTCTTGAAATCACCCAACAATAAAATTTTCCAAGTAAATACTCCCTCCAATGGATCTAGTCTTTGTATTTTAGGAAAAGCAAGTATACTATGTCTTGCATGGGGTCTGGAATTGCTAACTCTCAAGTTCTTGTGTGTATCAAGTTGTCATTGACAGTAGAATAAATGAAACATTGGAAGGTATTTAAACTTCTTCACTGTACCTGAATTTAATAAAGAGAAAATATAGCAAGTTTTTATAATACATTAATTTTATCTCCCTGTCAACACTTGCTTAAGAGAAAAACCTAATAGCTACTAAAAAGGGTACGTGCAGGGATGCTTTTATTTGAAGTCTTTACCATAGTCTATAGATAACACTCTTACTCAATTTCTGGTAGTTAACCAATTCCTATGGCCTAATACTTATTTCACTGTTGTACTATCTTCTGTCTTGCTTTTTAGTGTTCATGGTTACTGCTTTAAGTTAGATACAAGTGCTACTTCATGGGTCACTTAGCACTGATCACTGAGATAGAAATGAGGATGACTACTTGTATGTTAAGAGCATGTTTAACATGATTGCTACTCTTTGAATTATAAACAATGACTAAAGAGAACAAATAAGCAGCCAGACTTTTGCTGTTTGGAAATGTACCCATTTCCAAGTGGCTGGACTATCCTGGGTCTGCTCCCCCAAGGAACATAGCTCAGCCTTGCTTGAGAACTGGCTGCTACTGCAGGAAGGATTCTTCATGGGCCTCATGGCTTGACATTGGAGTCAGATCTGCAAGTAGAGCCGACAGAACGGCATGATCCAAATTAGCTTGCATAAAATAATACTAAAAATGCTGTTGAGGATTCAGGATTACATTCCATCTGTTCCCAGTGAACTTGCAAAACGGTGCCCTCATTGGAAAGAGCTCCACAATTTGTGAAAAATCCAAATAATCTTCTCTATGCCAAGCAGCTCATGTCCTCCTCACTAGGTGTTAATCTAGCTGGTTTGGAAATATGGACAGTTATATACAAATCAGAAAGTAAAAGAAAATCCATACCTACCTGAATCTAAGAGCATTCTTAATATTAATAATTAAATAATTAATTATAGTACTTTTGTTTACAAGTTTTTAATAATAATTTTATACAATCAAATATTAATGAAATGACAGGCTGGGCATATTGTTCAGTTGGGAGTATACTTACCTAGCATATAGGAGGTCCTGGATTTGATTCCAGCTGATCATAAACTGGATATGATAATATATATATACATATATATATATATATATAAATACATATCAATAATCTCAGCACTCAGGTGATAGAAGCAGAGAACTCAGAAGTGCAAGATTATATTGGGCTACACACTGAATTTAAGGCCAGACTTGGCTACAAGAAACCCTTTCTCAATAATAATAATAATAATAATAATAATAATAATAATAATAATAATAGCTCAAAGGAGGAAACTATGAGAAAGATGTCTTCCAGGAAATGAATGAACAAGCAGTGGGCCATATAAATAATGGGACACTATTCAGTGATGAAATAAATGAGGTACAAACTTCATAAACTCATGACATTACATTCACATTGCTAAATGCAGGAAGCTACTGCATAGACAACATGCTCTCTATCATTCTAGTTTCATGACGTCCTGAGAAGGGAAAACCACCGAGTGCAAATAGATCAGTGACAATCAGGAGATAGGCTGAACAGGGGGTCAAAGGGGCAGATGAAGAAATTAATATTTTGAAAGCAATGAGAAAGCATTCCCTATGGACCAGATACTAACTCATGGTATGTTGTGTTTATCAAAACCATAGAGAATGTAAATCATAGATTAAACATTAATATATGCAAATTGAATAAAAATTATTTAGGAGGTCATAGGCTCCCCAAACAGTTTCTAAAATATAACAAGGAATCAAATCACATATGACCCATGTAAACAGCAATCTCAACTAGGGGCAGTGTTACCTCAAAATTATTGGAAATGAGCTGTAAGACTAAACATAACCCATATTATACTTCTGTATGGTTATCTGTTTAATAATGTTGTTTTTCACTGAGCAGTTCTAATATTATGCATGCTGGACTTCAGCCAACAAGTCAGCGGAGGCAGATCCTGGGGCTGGATTTGTAGTTATAGATGGGGAAGGTTACTGATGATCAGTTATCCAATTGGCAATGGCTTAGAGGTGTTGGAGGCATTGGTATGTACAGATATACTCAAACATGCTATAAACAAACACAATATGTGATTGTATATGCATATACACACAGATGTTTTATTTCAGTCATTCTAGAAGACACAGATGCAGTGTGTCCCTGTAGGAAGTGTCAAGATCTTTCTTTTTATTAAGTTTGCTCTTGAAGGAACAAGGAACATTTCAGAAATGACTGATTACAGGACTTCAGTGGGAAATGTCCCATATAAATCATTTTAGAGTACCTTATGGCTCCTGAAAACATGGAAGTGCTAGGACAAATAAAACTACTTAAAAAAAGAGAGACATAAAGAGGGGGCTGGGAGATGGCCCAGGAGGTAAAATGTTTGCTGTGTGAATGTGAGAAGTGAGTTTAGATTCATAGGAATACATACAAAGCTGGGCACCTGGGCACATGTCTGTAACTCCAGTTCCCTTGTATCAAGATGAGAGAACAGAGAAATCCTGGGATCTGGAAGACAAGTAGCCTGGAGGCATCGGCATTGGGAATAGGAGAGTCTGTGGCCAACAAGGTGAAAGTGAGGGCAGGTACCTGAGGCTGTCCTCTGACAGAGGTGCCTGCAAAACACACACACACACACACACATGCATACAAGCACACACACACATACACACACACACACACACACACACACACACACCACATACATATGCATACAAGCACACACTCATTCATTTTTTTTAATTTCAAAAGGAAACATAATGAGGATATTATGACACAGAAACCAAAAGGTTTCATCAAAGTTGGAATTGACATATTTGAGATATTTAAGACACAAATTAAATTTAAAATTGCTGCATTATAGCTGAAAGGAGAAAATAAGCACCAATGAGTCTACATTGGAATATATGAAATGCTGAATAAATAATGAGTCAGGAGAATGGAGAAATCTTCCTGTAGAAGAATGTCAAATTCTTTGTGTAGAGGAGGTGGTATTTAAATTTTCCTTTCCCTTAGTGTGAACTGTGCATGGGAGCTTTTCCCAATGAGATAAAACATTCTTCCTTGGTGATTCCAAATCCTGTCAGGTTGTCCATGGGGACCAAGCATCTGATGAATCACCCTCAAACCTTTCAAAGTTGAGTAAACTGTGACATAAAAGGGAGATTGGGGAGGAAGACAAATATAATTTGTTATTTGCATAGAATCACAATCAATAAAAATAATATTGTGTAAAATCTTTTTTAAAAAGTAGTAAAGTTTTTTTTAGGTGTCTCCACCCTGAATTATGGCTATGAGAGACCAGAATAACACAACCCTGAAAATTACAACTTTCACATCGTGATTATTTTGAGACACTTCAGACATAAGTGACTCAGCAAAATTACCTTTCAGTAAGATCAATTTGCATATGTAACATAAACGCGCCTCTTTAATATTTGTATCTCCTTGTCTGCACCAGGAAGACTAGTCTGATAGGGAAGGAGGAAGAACAGAAAAGAAGAAAATTTGCAGAGGGGTGTGGAGCCATACTACCGTGTGTGTGTGTGTGTGTGTGTGTGTGTGTGTGTGTGTGTGTGTGTGTGTGTTTAAGACCAAAAACCCTACTAGTGATTGAATTTAAA